TAGCTTTGCATACGCGCCGGAAATTCATCTCGCAGGGAGGCCACAAGTTACAGAGAAGATCTGTGTCGTTATTTGAATCTCCAAGCGAGGAGGTGACGCGATGGTTCACTGTAACTGTCCGTTCGCCGGCTGAGGGGAGTTCCGAAAGTGAGTTAGCCGCAAGCTAGCACCTCTCGTCGTGTGGCCCGCTGGGACAAATTACAGCCAATGAAGCATTCACGCAGGTATATTTTCATGGCATGTGTGGTAGTACAACAAAATTTGTTCAAATGAAGCGACAACGGCTCGATTCCCCCCCCAAAAATTTGAAGCCTCAGCTCTATTTAAATTTGGCAGAGTTGTTAACAACGCTTACATTTCTAAGTCATATTTTCACTTTACAGGGACTTTCAAAAGGCATTGAGAAGCAGCAGCGTGACCCGAAAGAGAATATTTATATTTCAATTATGTTCCATTGTAGAAATAGATTCCAAATCCTTTGAAGTTCCTCAGTTTTCCTCAGGCACCGGTAGGAGCTCTTTGAAGAAACACTATTTAATAAACATCTATATATAAGAAGGAGGATTAAAAAAAAAAAAAAAAATCTATACTTTGTAATATACGCTGTACCACGGTGCAGAATTCCAGAGGGGATTTTTTGTGCATGTGTTTGTGTGTAGAATGTCATAAATGCATATATTTACATCTCATTAATTTACGGCGCATCGACATGTGTTTGCACGCGGCTGTTTGCATTTAGCGAGCCGTTTGGATTTTCCGCTGCTCATCGTGATGGATGTGATGCTATTATCTTCCCTCTTTTACATATCATTTCTTTCCAATTCATTTCCGCCAACAGCAGATGCGTGGCAAAACAGCGACAGCTCAATGTGTGATTCCACCCCCCGCCCCCCACCCCACCCCTCTCCACTGCCCACAGATGCTCGTTATTTGTGTCGCGAGTCCTTTTACAACGCTGCCATGAAGAGGCTACGCTTGGAGATGATTAAACGGCAGATCCTCTCCTTCCCCGTTTGCACGCAGATCAACTCAACAAGACATCCATGACGGAAGCAACAAGACAATCTTTTCGCCTTTAAACGGATCCATTTAAGACATGCCGTTACATCATCGTGAAAGCGTGTCATTTTCCTTTTTATCGCTCACCGGTCAATTGGCGAGATACACCTATTGATTCGGTGATTGAAGTTGATTCCGAATGTGCAGACAAGAACCGAAAAAAACAATTTACAATATAAATATCCCAAATTAAAGCAACGTGTACTGCGAGCAGGAAGAAGTCAAACTTATTTCAAACCTACGCCTTAACCATTACCCAAGATAAAAAAAAAAATGCAGACCAAAAGATATATATACCTACATACAACACAATAAAATACAATAAAATAATGCATCATTATTTATTTCGTGCTTTCACAACAGCTGCAGCTGTAACAAAGCGTTTTATAGAACAGCTAACAAAATAATATAACACAACACATTACACAAGACATGGACAGTCATACAATCGTAACCACTATTCCTGCATACGCTTTGTTGTTTTTTAGCAGTTCTAGATGAAAAAAGAGAGAATCCAAGTGTCCTTTCACCAGTGGATCAGAGACGTCATGCTCAAAATGCGCACATGTCTCCTATAAGCTAAGTTTGAAAGTCAACACGAAGCTGTAGTGCCCATTGACGAAAAAAAGAGATTGGTTCGGTTCACTTCTCCCGTCCCATGTAAAATCCGCTTCAAATCCAAGCGGCGACTCTCAGTTCCAAAATACGCATCTGAGCTCCGTGCCGACGCTCCTTTGTCCTCATCCTCGGCTCCACCAGCCATCCATCTAGCCGCACCAACGCAGATTGTCCAACATCGCCGACATCTCCGCTGAACAAAACGGGGCTGTGAAAAATGCTGCCCATTACAGACGCAAAAAACACACGCGCCTCGGGGTTGTCGAGCGGCGACGGTCAAATCGCGCCGACCTCCCCCCAGCACCCGTAGAAATCAAAATCAGTGCTGGTACAAGGGTGCCGCCGAGAAGGCGCACTCATCAAGTACAGATTCTTCTCGTTCGACGAATGTCGTGGCCAAAACGCCGAAACCAATGCACAGTGGGTCCACACGAAGGACAACAAACACGATATGACAAAACAAAAGCCAAAAACAACAAAAAGCAAAGCTCTTGAAGAGCTCTTGCCGCCGGCTGCCCACTACGGCGCCATCTTGTAATCTCATACATATCCAAAAGGAAATACACACATCACCTATAAAGCGAGTCCAAACACTTCATACCTGCAAAATCTTAAGGTGCTCAGTTTGAACTGATAAGTTTATTACTTGGATGGAATATTTTTTTAAACACTGTGAAGCCTAACGAAGTGACTGAAATCCATAGCAGAAAGTCAAATCGGATTAGGCAATCTTTCTCCAAGTATTGTATGGACCCATATTCCTCAAAATGAAGGACATGTTGAAATAGCTTAGCCTGCGAAAAACACCACCAACGCCAACCAGTTCTAAATCAGGCTGTGACCCGCGTCCTTTGGAAATACAAAAGACAGACAAACAAGTACAAATCCAATTGAATCCACCCCCGTGCGACGGAAATAAAGCAGCGGTTTACGGTTTTGCCGCCACTGCCGCGGCGAGCGCTACGAGCCGAGCTTGTCAAAACCAATCGAGACACAAGAAGAGGACGCGACACGCGTTCTTCCTTTTGCATAAACACGCCGTGACTGCCAGCAGGATGGCCGCATGAGCTCTCGCATGTCAACATGAAAACATGAACCCTGCGTGATGACATAACAGATCACAGCAGCGACAAACACGGGCGAGATTAAGACCAAAAAGGAATTTGTGAGATTAGAGCAGCATGGGACCCCATGGTATTATCCAATTAGTCAGACGTCATATTTGTGCGTATACGCCACACTCGGGATGTTGGCAGGCACCCGGGAGAAGAGCCCGACAGGCACGCAAGTCTGGCACGGAGTGCTATGGTCCCAGGTTCCAGCTGGAAGGATGACTACCTCACCGTGCCGGCCCCCAAACCCTTTCCAGTCCCGCCGTATCTTATCGCTCTTGCCTTGCGTCTCTGCAATTCCGCTGGAGATCCCTCGAGATCCCTCTTTAGAATTGGAAGCTACGTTGTATCGAGGTCACACCGGAAAGAAAAACATATGTGCCAAGAGAAGGAATGTCGCAACGGTAGAGAGAAAAAAATAATAATTCTTTTTTGAAGAAGAAGAGTGGTGGTTTCTTACATTTTCAGCACAAAAGGACAAATATACTACATAAAGCAAAGAAAAGGCCATGCAAGGAGTTTTGTCTTGGTCAAGACCATTTCAGTCGTGCTAAATACAAGTTCTGCCAGATTTTGAAGGACTGGTTTGTTTTCAAGGGAGACAAATCCCCACAGCGACCTACATTAGCGGCAAACACAAAAGACAACCGCAGAGTCTAAAGGTCTTATGTGTCAGGAGAAAGTCATTCCTCTGGCAAAAGTTTGTCGGCTCTGATCCGAGCAGATCCGAAATAGCGTCAGTCCTCGGAACTACTGCACCCAAAATGCCGCAACGCTTCCAAAATAAAACTGGGGCACACCGAAAACAGTCAAACAAAGGTTATTTGTTTTGTTGTTGTTTTAGATCCTCCTGGGAACGCTCCAGGTGGTTTATTGCGGCAGTCAAAGAAACACGTTTGACTCCAATTGGACAACTAAGTGCAATGAGCGATACAACACCGGCTGCATTTGAATATGTTTATGGGGTGTGCATTTATACGCAATCGTAATATTAATTTCATTTCATTTCATTTCTGCTCAGGTAAACTCAAATTATTATGCAATTCAGATTCTAAATTGAGAGTTTTTCATAATTCGTTTTTTTTTTTTTTTTTTTTTGCGGGGGGTGTCTTGATTTGCAAGCAAAAATGTGAGTTTTGAGTGTCGCCTAAGCTAGCGGCGAACTTCACGATAGGCAGCATAGAGTGAACAGTTTTTAAGACTCCAAGTGCCTGCTTCTGTTTATTGCCACTAGACTAAACAATCACACATTGGGGTTTTCACCAAAATTCACCAGCTTTGCCTTACAAGAGTGCGCTAGCTTAATGCTAACACACGTTGCAAACTATCAGAGATGGTTGAGTGAAATGGTAGTTAACGAACATTTCAAACAACTTATATTTGCCCACGAATGGTCGTTACACATGAAAACAATCTTCAAATGTGTGTATTCTTTATCTTTGATGAATTTGAGATGAGAGACGGCCTTCTTTGTCTCGTTTCATGATCAAGTCTGTCGTATGTCGTATTATACTGCCCCCTGGTGGCCCAGCTGTGCACACACCAGAGTGAGCATTCTTTACATTGCAGGTAATTACGTTATTATGGTTTTTAAATTCTTTTTAAGATGTGTGCATCCGTCTCAGGCACTACTACACAATCCGGAGAGGAAAAAACACATCTTTGTGCGTCTCAAACTATTTCCACTCGCTCAGAGAATCTAACACTCTCCAGCGAGACTCCCATGTCGAAAACCATTCTGCATTTCCCAGGCATCAAAGCGAGCTTGCGAGCAATTACTTTTGATCACAGCCCAGTTGGCCTGGACGCTTTTTATCCGCGTTGGTGAGGGGGTGGGTGTGGGGGGGAGGGGGCATTAGAAGGGGCAGCCGAGAGAGAGGCTGGCTCCTTCTTTTTCGTTTCGCCAGCGTAAAACGTCTCCCCAAAGACGACGGCGGCGGCATGACGGCCCAGCGCTTGTGTTAATTAACACGTCGGCTTGTTGATGTTCATTAAAAAGGAAACAGACATCAGAAAAGGATCACGTCGAGGGGAGCGTTGTGTTTCTCAACGCACCAAAAGATGCCGCGGCAAAGTTTGGAAAGCAATTCGCAGGAGATATATTTGAAGCATGCGCATTACAACTGGGCTCATTAGACAAAGCTTTTGCTTCTTGGCTATTTCCTCACCAAAGTCCAAGTGCGAGTTTTCTCAACTTTGTGATTCACTTACTTCATAGGTTTGAACAGAGCTTGTCCGTAGTTGTGGAAGGTCATGATCAACTTGAGCTGGGTGCCTCCTGACTTCATGGCTGCAAGGGAAAGGACAAAAAAAAAAAAAAAAAAAGAAATTGTATGAAAAACTCTCATCGCCACAGCTGTTTTTGTCAGCCGTCAAACTGGGAAAGCAATTTGGCACGAATGGAACAAAAGCAATCACATCCACTGACCACAATGAGCAATCAAAGAAGAATTGTGAGCGCTTTGGACAAGTGGCATGAAAATAATCAGTGGGTACAAGTGGACAGAGTGAGTTGTGGGGCGTGTGGGGTCGGGGGGGGGCGGCGGGGCAGTAAGCAATTTTGAAAAAAGAACAATAATTCACAGTGAGCCGGCTGGGAAAAAGGTTCTTTGTTTTTAGAACGTCCAACTTCCAATAGGTGCTGCTAACTTGTCTTAATGACGGAATTCACCTGGAGCCTATCCCAGCTGTCTTCGGGCAGTTGGCGGGGGACACCCTGAACATCCGCGCTCACACTCACACCGAGGGACAATTTCGAGTGTTCCATGCATGTTTTTTGGAATGTGTGAGGAAACCCACGCAGGCACGGGGAGAACATGCAAACGCCACACAGGAAGGCCGGAGCCGGAATCGAACCCGGTACCTCTGAACCGTGAGGCCGACGTGCTAACCAGTCGACCACCTTAGTGTCAAAGAAAAGTTCTTGGCTGTTAATGGACAGACATTTGCGGATCTGTTCGTTTATGACCGCGCGTTAACTTCACATGACAGCGACCTGCTGGCTAACCCTTGTCTTCAAAATGGCCGACCCACTTAGCGACGGGGGGCGTGGCCAACAAAAATCCGACTCACTAGCCATGCCAAGCTGTCGTTTATTGCCATCTTGAACAGATATGAGATCTCTGGGGTGTGCAGATTTTTTTTCGTGGGGATCATCTGCCCGAAAATAGCAAAATGAGTTGTATTTTCATAGTTAGAAAAGGATCTTTTTTTTAATTTGACGGGGGCTGACCAACTGGGATGATTTGTGACTAATTACTGGCATTGATCAAATTTGCGTGTGGCGAATTTTCAAACGACAGCGACGCAATGCGACTTGTGGAAGCCTACAAAATAATCATCCATTCAGGCTGTTTTGAAGAACAAAACTGGCAAACACATGCTAACCATGAAGACACACAACAACCTGATAAGTGTTTCAAGAAGAGGATGGGTTGATCATTGAATTCTACAATTCAATCGAGGCAATTGGCCTTGACTTGTGAGGGTTTTCGTTTTAATCAGTCTTCCTAGTTGGAAGAAAAAATTTTTTTAAAAGACTTAGCAATTCTGCTACTCAGCTGACAATTTATAAAATTACAGGCTCTTTTTTTTCCCAGTACTCACTCGAGTAATCACAGATACAGAGTACCACCAGTGCTTCTGATTTTCTTTTTTTTTTTTTTTTAAATTGACTAAATTATAAATAAATGGGAATAAAGGCTTTCTTTTTGCAGACACGCATGATGATTCGCTGGTGTCAAACTGTCGCAGTGTAGCACCAACTACTGACTAGGAGGACTTGCCTGATGTGAGATTTTTTTTTTTTTTTTTTTTGGCTTGAAGTATCGCTGGCTGGTATTGATTGACAGCTTCCATGAGTACCCGGTACCTTAAAATAATAGCGGCCCATCCCCATAACAATATCAAAAACTGACAGCCCGACACATTCTATTTATAGCAATTTCGACCATTATTCTGTTTGATTGCACGATGAACACACAAAAAAAAAAAAGCCGCCTGTCAAAAACCACTCGGACAGTATTCAGCTCATCTAAGCCAAAGAAAAGCCATCAGGTCAACCCACGAGCCAGATTTGTCGAAGCAAGGTCAAGTAGACGTTTGCCCCTTGTGTCGCGTCATCAAATCGGAAGATTAAACTCAACAACACATCAATGAACCCTTGAGAGCCATTTCACATCAACGATGGAACGACGCGAGCTTGCGCTGCAATCAAAAGCCACAATCCTCAAGGAAGTGACCTCAATCCTTTGCTCCGCTCTGCTCGCATTTTGCTGTTTAATTGAAAATTTGGAAAAAAAAAAAAAGAGGTAATCCCCGTTCCGCAGTGGAAAATTCTCAGCAAAGCTCATCTTATCGTATTGTTTGCAGACTTGACATGCAAAGTCTTGTCATGACATGACAACATCAATCAACTTGAACAGCACACTTTGCGCTCCCAAGGCCATCTGTCTTGGTATTAGAGCGCTAATACATGTGTTTGTGTTGACCCACGATCCATCTTTTGCTCCGTGCGTCGACAAATTCATCACCTCGGTGTTGACTGGCCTTTTCGGAAAGCTCCAGGCGTCACCCACTCTCCCCCCTCCACCCCCTCCTCCTCCTCCGTAACCAGATTCATGTTCTGATGATAAATCCGCCGCGCTTCCACCTGTGTCGCATCTCGCCAAAGAGCGCGTTATGATTTATGAGCCTAATCCGAGCAAGAACAAAAGGCTGACACGGAGTCGGCGCTCCGGTGTGCGACTCGAGGGCAGATAAAGCAACATTAGCCCAAGGAGATGTTCAAACCTTGTAACTAGCTTTGCTTTGCGGTGTCACCCAGACATAAAAGTGCTGCGGCGCGCGCGGTGTGGAAATGAAAGCTTGCAGTGCAGGCACTCGCTAGACTGCGTTTTATATTGTGCGACTCCAGACAAAGGCTTTGAATTTTTTTTTTTTTACATCTGATAATCTACATAAGCGAGTCTGGCAAAAAGGCAGTTTGAAAAGATGGCGTCAGCACGATGAGTTGTGTAAGACAGCGCAAGCTGCGATGAGTGTGAGGAGGTGACAAAGAAACTTGATTTGGGTCGAAGAATTGCGTCAGTAATCGATTTAATCATCGAAAAGGATGATTGATTTAAAAAAGATTCGTTCGTGACAGCCCAAGCGATGAAGGCGCACGTTGCCATGGAAGTAACGCAGCGTGCACACACACACACAAGCAAATTTGACCACTGGATGAAGCTGACTACCATTCGAACAAGAGAAGAGCATCAGACAGCTAATTAGCTTCCGTATGAAGCGCAGCAAAGGATGTCACAAGGGCAAGAACATTTCACCAACGCTCAAGCGTCATTCCTCGCCAGTATTGCGCCACTTTCTTGACTCAACAGTTTCATATTACTCGCGCTGCAGCTTGCACATGGAGGAAATTGCGGCGCCTTGAAATCTTTGGCCTTTCCTCTAATGAGACTCACCCACGCTGGTGATCTTCTGCGTCTGCAGGTCGTGGAGCAGAGCATCCAGCACCGGGTTGCCTCTGGCGTACAGCTCGTAGCGGTTGATGCCAACGTGGAAACGCAGCCAGTTGGGGTACGACTCGGCCGTCGCCTCGGCCGCTCGGACGCTGTCCTCATCCCGCGCGTTGCCGTCTTCGGTCGGCCTGGAGATGAGAAGGCAGATGGTTGTTTTTTTTTTTTTTTTCATGCTTCCGCCAAATCGGGACAATCTCATCATAATAAGGCAACGTGATGAAGCAGAGGCAACAGGATAAAAGAACTTGCGCAACAATATTACATTACAGTTGCCTTCCTGATGCCACCATCAAACTCCCTAACTCCCTTTAAAGCAGATGAGATTCCCATACAGTATACTAACTCGAAACAAAGTTTATCAAGGCATTTGTCACTTTGGCTGATTTGGAGCTCCTCGAGTTAACTAATTGATCAAAATCCCCCCAAACGAGTTCTTTTGTCAGGCGTGCATTTGCATTCTTAGTAGGCGACTTATTTGATGATTTCATCCTGAGTGCTCAAAATCAGGAGGAGTCCTCCTCAGGAAAAGCCAAGTCTTGACCAAAAGGCTCAAAGAGGCTTTTTTCTTGTCATGTACGTTGAATTCTACATCAGCAGTTGTTCTTTGAGCTTTCGTGCATGTTCAAAATGAGCTGGAACACAGAAAAATTAAGCAGGGAGAGATCACTTAATGTGCCAGTGATGGATGGATGGATGGATGGACATAGTCTCTGGTTGGACAGATGGATAAATGAATGGAATTATGGGTAGACAGATGGATGAAGGGACGATATGACTGTAGATGGATGAATGAAGAGATGGATTGACTGTCCTGGTCGACAAATGGACAGATATTTGGCTGGAAGGATATTAGGATGAATAAATGGAGAGACATTATGGGTGAGATGAATGGATGAATAAAGAAAGAAAGAAAGAGAAAAAATAAAGAAAGAGAAAGAAAGAAAGAAAGAAAGAAAGAAAGAAAGAAAGAAAGAAAGAAAGAAAGAATGAATACTGAGTGGGACCGATAGGTGACACTGATGAATGAATGGATATCTGGTGAATGGACAAGTGGATCGATAGATGACCCGGAGGACAGACAGACAGACATTAGAATTCAAGTAATTTACCATCCTTGTTGATCAGTGGCTTTGGGATAAAATCTAATTTCCGTGTTGACGTTAAACAAAGTGTCCCGCTCCGTCAGAGGCGGAAGCGCAATCTTATACAAAGGATGCTCAAAGAGAGCCGCGAGTCGGGATGCACCGGCACCGAGTCCGGCCACCGTGCGACCCCCGCTCGCCTCGCCGATGAGCGGCTTGTGCCCGTCTGCCTTCCCGGCGGTGGCGTGGGCGCCCGCCCTCCTACGGTGGGAGTCGGCCGCTCGCTGGCCGCCGGCGCCCGCGCTCTTCTCCAAGGTGGTGGTGTGGTTGGAGTTGGGCTCGCTGCTGAAATCCTGCAGGATTCGGAGCGTGTGCTTGTTGGGCCACGCGCCCGAGTCGGCCGCCGACACGACGCGCTGCTGTTGCTGTTGTTGCTGCTGGCTGGCCCAGCCCGGCGACTCCGCGCCGGCGTGGTGGGCGCATTGACAGCCGCTGTCGGCGCCGTCCGCTCCCGAAGTCCTCTTCTCCAATTTGGGCAGCAAGTCTATCATGATGTGCACCGTGCACGCCACGAGGAACACCGTGAGCAGCAAGACTCTGAATTTACGAAACATGATCATCCTTTGTTGCTTTGGTCCCACAGTTATGTCAGCTTCACGCGCACCTTACGATGGCATCCGCGGGATTTTTTGCTCGGGTTAAAAAGTCCATCTTGTTATTTGCTCGAGAACAGCCCCAGTAGTTCTGACTGAACAGGTGAACGGTCCAAGACATCGCGAAAAAACATGCGCGGTCACATTTGTGATCTTAATCCACTGCGCATTTAAAGTCCAGCGTGCCACAATAATTACATATTAGATGCAGTCCAAAAAATACAAAAGTAGTCCCTCGACCAATAAAAAGGACGACGATATTCCTAGTAAATAACAGCTGATCCGCTCGGATGCTGCGCGGCCGCGATCTTGACCGAAGTCAGCGACGCGTGGAGCGGCCGACAGGTGCGAGCTGCATCCCCGCCATCGCTGGAGCTCTTCCCGCTCTCTTGTATCCCTTGCAAGTGTGCATCCTCCGTGAATGTGCGCAATAATAGGATCGGAGCCCCGTGGAGGAGTCCAGCCTCGGTGGCGTCAGGAGGAAGCGATTGGCTGTACATGCAAGCGGCGCCTGTGACTTCCTTGCACGTGCTGCCTGCCAGACAGTAAGGCTGCAATACTGCCAAACGCCACTAGAGGGCACGCCCACGACTACATAGATTTATTTTCGTTTCCAGAGGTGGCAAATGTCCTCAATTCTCCACTTATGAACCTTCATCCATCCGTTTTCGACAACGCTTACCCTGTACAGGGTCGCTGGAGCCTATCCCGGTTGACTCCGGGCGGGAGGCGGACTACAACCGTTGGCACTCACATCCTCACCGTCACCGAGTGGGAACCGATGTCCGCACACAGGTCAAGCGAGTGACTTAAATAGATACTTTCATGAACATAATAATTATACTACAACTCATAATAAAGAGTGGTGAAATATTTTAAAAGAACAGAAATGAAATGTAAATATCAGTGCAAAAGTAAAGAGTAAACTTGAATTTTTGAGGTCATTTACAGCTCTGGCACAAACCAAAAACAGGGTGTCCCGAGGAGTTTTTCAAGATATGAACTGACTTTTGAGCTACACCTGGCAGTGGGGGTAAAAAAAAAAAAAAAACAAAAAAAAAAACATGTAGGGACATGTACAGCCTTCTCTGATGACAATTTGCTGCACATCAGTGTAATCAGCCATCGAAAATGAACAAAACGCTGAAATGAGCTTATGCTGAACACAGTTGAGTGGCATCACATATTTGTGGTGGTGGTGGTGGTGGGGTGGATGATGGGAAAGCAGCTCACTGGCTCTGGCTGCATTCCATAAAAACCCAAATATGCAAGCTCCATTAGGCAGTTTTATGAGCCACATGATTTGTGAACAGCTAATTCCAAGTTGAGAGTCAAATGACTACCTATGTGTCACAACACACAAGTTATAATGGAAGAATAATTTGAAGAGAGCAATCACAGTCAAAATTTTATTTGACAAACGACGTCCGTTGGCACACTGACAAGAAGAATGATGGGCTCTAAGTCGCCTGCCACAGAAAAGGACCAAGTCATGGTGTGTGTGTGTGTGTGTGTGTGTGTGTGTGTGTGTGTTTTAAGTTGACAATGAATGAGCTGAAAATTATTTTTTTTACCCTTGTTGAGGAACACCGTGAGCAGCAAGACTCTGAATTTACGAAACATGATCATCCTTTGTTGCTTTGGTCCCACAGTTATGTCAGCTTCACGCGCACCTTACGATGGCATCCGCGGGATTTTTTGCTCGGGTTAAAAAGTCCATCTTGTTATTTGCTCGAGAACAGCCCCAGTAGTTCTGACTGAACAGGTGAACGGTCCAAGACATCGCGAAAAAACATGCGCGGTCACATTTGTGATCTTAATCCACTGCGCATTTAAAGTCCAGCGTGCCACAATAATTACATATTAGATGCAGTCCAAAAAATACAAAAGTAGTCCCTCGACCAATAAAAAGGACGACGATATTCCTAGTAAATAACAGCTGATCCGCTCGGATGCTGCGCGGCCGCGATCTTGACCGAAGTCAGCGACGCGTGGAGCGGCCGACAGGTGCGAGCTGCATCCCCGCCATCGCTGGAGCTCTTCCCGCTCTCTTGTATCCCTTGCAAGTGTGCATCCTCCGTGAATGTGCGCAATAATAGGATCGGAGCCCCGTGGAGGAGTCCAGCCTCGGTGGCGTCAGGAGGAAGCGATTGGCTGTACATGCAAGCGGCGCCTGTGACTTCCTTGCACGTGCTGCCTGCCAGACAGTAAGGCTGCAATACTGCCAAACGCCACTAGAGGGCACGCCCACGACTACATAGATTTATTTTCGTTTCCAGAGGTGGCAAATGTCCTCAATTCTCCACTTATGAACCTTCATCCATCCGTTTTCGACAACGCTTACCCTGTACAGGGTCGCTGGAGCCTATCCCGGTTGACTCCGGGCGGGAGGCGGACTACAACCGTTGGCACTCACATCCTCACCGTCACCGAGTGGGAACCGATGTCCGCACACAGGTCAAGCGAGTGACTTAAATAGATACTTTCATGAACATAATAATTATACTACAACTCATAATAAAGAGTGGTGAAATATTTTAAAAGAACAGAAATGAAATGTAAATATCAGTGCAAAAGTAAAGAGTAAACTTGAATTTTTGAGGTCATTTACAGCTCTGGCACAAACCAAAAACAGGGTGTCCCGAGGAGTTTTTCAAGATATGAACTGACTTTTGAGCTACACCTGGCAGTGGGGGTAAAAAAAAAAAAAAAACAAAAAAAAAAACATGTAGGGACATGTACAGCCTTCTCTGATGACAATTTGCTGCACATCAGTGTAATCAGCCATCGAAAATGAACAAAACGCTGAAATGAGCTTATGCTGAACACAGTTGAGTGGCATCACATATTTGTGGTGGTGGTGGTGGTGGGGTGGATGATGGGAAAGCAGCTCACTGGCTCTGGCTGCATTCCATAAAAACCCAAATATGCAAGCTCCATTAGGCAGTTTTATGAGCCACATGATTTGTGAACAGCTAATTCCAAGTTGAGAGTCAAATGACTACCTATGTGTCACAACACACAAGTTATAATGGAAGAATAATTTGAAGAGAGCAATCACAGTCAAAATTTTATTTGACAAACGACGTCCGTTGGCACACTGACAAGAAGAATGATGGGCTCTAAGTCGCCTGCCACAGAAAAGGACCAAGTCATGGTGTGTGTGTGTGTGTGTGTGTGTGTGTGTGTGTGTTTTAAGTTGACAATGAATGAGCTGAAAATTATTTTTTTTACCCTTGTTTTAAATGTGGGACAAAAGAAAATGAAACATTGAAAAGCCGGAGGCTACTCGACACACATAATCACAAGTCCCACCTCCAAAAATCACTGTCTGGTACAGGCATTCATCAAAAATGTCAAAACCTACAGGTATTCCTCTATTTCGCTGGCGTTGAACCGAAAGCTTGCGCCTCCAAAACAGTCACTTTTCAGAAGACTCCAAAAACATCATTTTTGCTCAACCATGAACATGGTCAAAGCTAGCAAGCCATTCTCAACACCTCAGATTGCACAATTATTTATCTAAGTAACGTTTAGACTGACCAATCAAGAGATTCGATTTTTGAAAAAAAAAAAAGCAAAATTAACCAAACTGCGAATTATGACGTTTCGGCCCGATGCCAACGATTTATTATCGTAAGCTAGTGGAACATTTTGCACAGTTTGAATCACTAACACTACACTTGAAATACAGGAAAAGAGGGAAAAAAATCTCTCCTTAAATAATGATACGATTAAAATCTAATGCGCAACAGCTATAATGTATGTTAAAATGTACAGAAAAAAATGTTTCAAAATGCTCAGTTGTTAATATTTGAAATATAAATGTGTTGCAATGTATTGAAGTTAAACAGCCGTACTGGGCTTAAAAGGTAAAAAATAAATAAATAAAAAACTGTTTCATACATAGAAAGTAAAAAGAAAAACAGACAAATATCAGAGGTGCACTGAAAAAAACAACAAGCTGTTTCATTGAATTGCATGTTTGAAATGACTCGTTCATTTAATTTCTATTTAATTCGGCGATTCTACCGCAAACCACTAGAGGGAGTCGGTGTACCGCAAGTGTTCTTCGTACCCCACTTGGAGAGTCAGCCTGGGCGCTTGCAGCGACTTCAATTCAAAAGTAAAATGGACGTGATTCCATTTTGCAGTTTCAATTACCGGGTGCCGCGATTTGAAATTTCGAAACGCGTCCACTATATGAATGTTGAAGCTTCTTAACACTCAAAATGAATTTCCAACAGGAACGCGTCAGATGAACTGTATTAGTGTTTGATTTTACCACTCACAGCGAGACGTAGCTTTCGAATAATGAGGCGGGTGTCATCGCGCGCGCCACTGCGACGGCCCCGCTGAGTTGATCGCTTTATCTCAAACACTCACAAGCCAAATTGAGCTGTGGGATTTTCAATTCGGTGCAAGTGGAGGGTGACCTTGAAAGTTGAGACGCTTGTTTCGGGGGGGGTGGGGGGGGGGGGGGGGGGGGGGGGGGGGGAGACCAGCCATTGGCGGTGCAAGAGCTTTTTTTGGACTTTTTTCAACCGGTTTTAATTACCTGTAAAATGTGAGTGGATGTGAGCTGGGAGACAATTTGCTGTTGTGAGCCAAGATGCTCCTGCAGGACAAAAAAATAAATAAACACACAGAAATGACATGAGGGAGAAATGAGCCACACAGGGTGAAATCATGTTTTGCGAAACAGGAAGCTTGAACGTGACTTTAAATAAATGATGCAACGTGTTGAATAACAATTTAGGAATTAAGACATTTCACTCACTTGCACAAAATGGGCAAATTTATACTGAAGAAAATTTCTCGAGGAGAGAATATCAGCCCAAAGCATTTGTTTTATTAAAAAAAATAAAATTAAAAAATTCTTTAACCTTTAATCCTTTCATGCACCCTGTAACCTGATAACATGATAATGTGTCCACTGTAAAAATCGTTGTCCCCGAAAGGGTTAAAGTCATTGTTAAAATTGGACTTAAGCAGCTTTGTTGAAAGTACACTGAAAAAAGTTTTTGTTGAATTTACTCAGTTTTATTTCAACAAACGCTTGCACGAAATAAAAAATCATCTCTTACATTTTTTTAAGTAGACGACCAGATCCGGGTGATTGTATTTTATGCAACCACCTGGCAAAATAAAATGGAGTATATTCATCACCATTTTTTTTTTCCAGTGCATCATACTTCTGGACGCTTTCAATCCATTATAAAAACGGCCCGCAAATTAAGACCTACTTTTAGAACTGTATGCTTTTTACTTTTTTGCAGTCGCTACAATTAAATGTCAGTTATCGTCCATGGATTCAATCCCATATTTGAACTTTGGGAATGAACTCAGTATTTTTGCGATGAGGGGCAAATATACACGTAATGAATAAGAAAGAAGGAACAGAGATATGTTCTGCCCCCGCACGGGCAACTCGAGGCACTTTATTGTTATTACCCTCCACTCGGGCACTCCTTCTTAATTATACTTCGGAACATCTTGGAGATTGCACTTTATGACTTCTGGAACCTTCTGGAGTTCTTTTTTTATATTT